CTCCTGGGCTCCAATGATCCTCCTGCCTTGGCCTCCTAAAGTGCTGGGCTTACAGGCATGAGGAACTGCATCTGGCCCAATGAACTTTTCTTTTCTTTTTTGTTTTTGTTTTGAGACAAGGTATCATTCTGTTGCCCAGGGCTGGAGTGCAGTGGTGAGATCTTGGCTCATTGCAGCCTCAACCTCCTGGGCTCAAGCGAGCCTGCCACCTTGGCCTTCCAAGTAGCTGGGACCACAGGTGCGTGCCAGCACACCCAGCTAATTTTTTGGTATTATTTGTAGAGACAGGGTCTTGCTATGTTGCCCAGGCTGGTCTCTAACTCTTGGGCTCAAAAGATCTGCTTGCCTCAGCCTCCCAAAGTGCTGGGATTACAGGCATGAACCATCATGCTTGGCTCCAATGAGCATTTCTTTTTTTTTTTTTTTTTTTTTGAGACGGAGTCTCGCTGTGTCGCCCAGGCTGGAGTGCAGTGGCTGGATCTCAGCTCACTGCAAGCTCTGCCTCCCGGGTTTTTACGCCATTCTCCTGCCTCAGCCTCCCGAGTAGCCGGGACTACAGGCGCCCGCCACCTCGCCCGGCTAGTTTTTTGTATTTTTTAGTAGAGACGGGGTTTCACCGTGTTAGCCAGGATGGTCTCGAACTCCTGACCTCGTGATCTGCCCGTCTCGGCCTCCCAAAGTGCTGGGATTACAGGCTTGAGCCACCGCGCCCGGCCGAGCATTTCTTTTAAGTGTCATGTCAGTGCTTAAAAGTTTCAGACTTTGGAGCATTTTGATTTTCAGAAATTTGAAATTAGGATGCTTATAACCTGTACTAGCAACTATCAGAAGTTGAAATAGAAAAATACATTTACAATAGCATAAAAAATATACACACTTCGGAATAAATCTGAGAAAAGATGTGGAAAATCTATACAATGAAAACTATAAAATATTACTGAGAGAAATTAAAGATATAAATAAGTACTAAGGTATACCTTGTTAATGTGTTAAGAGAGTCAATTTTTTTAGTGTGTCAAAATGTTCCCCAGTTGATCTAAGATCCAATACGATCCAGCAGGCTTTTCTTTTTTTCTTGTAGAAATTGAAAAGCTGGTTTATATGGAAATGTAGAAGACCCACAATAGCTAAAATAACTTTGAAAAAGAACAAAGTTGGAGGTTAACAGTACCTAATTTCGATAATTATTTTAAAGCTCCAGTAAATCAAAGTAGCAAGCTACTGGTATAAAGGTAGACAAATAGATCACTCATTAACAGAGGAGATCAACATCAACAGACAGTCCAGAAATACATCAAAGGATATCTGATTTTTGACAAAAATGCAAAGGCAATGCTATGGAAAAAGGATAGCCTTTCTAACAAACAGTTCTGGAACAACTGGATATTCATGTGCAAAAAAATGAACTTGGATCCATATGTTGTACCATATACAAAAATTAACTCAAAATGGATCATGAACCCTAATAAGACCTAAGACTATAAAGCTGCCAGGAGAAAACATAGGAGAAAATCTTTGTGACTTTAAGATAGGCAAAGATTTCTTAGACATGATGGCAAAAGCACATTCTTTAAAAAAAAAACAAAAACAAAAACAACTGATAAATTGGGCTATTCCAATTAAAAACTTTCACTTTTCAAAAGACAAGCCATAGACTGAGGAAAAATATGTGCAAAGCACCTATCTGATAAAGAACTCATATCATATCTGATAAAGATGGGCCGGGTGCGGTGGCTCACGCCTGTAATCCCAGCACTTTGGGAGGCCGAGGCGGGTGGATCATGAGGTCAGGGGACTGAGACCACCCTGGCTAACACGGTGAAACCCCATCTGTACTAAAAATACAAAAAATTAGCCGGGTGTGAATTGTAAATTGAATATGTAAAGAACTCCCTTGTCTCAACAGTAAGAAAATAATCCAATTAGAAAATGGGCAAAATACTTTTAATAGATACTTCACCAAAGAAGATATACAGATGGCAAACATGAAAAGTTCAACATTACTAGGCATTAGGGAAATGCAAGGACACTACTATATACCTATTAGAATGGCTAAAATTGGGCCGGATGCAGTGGCTCACACCTGTAATCCCAGCACTTTGGGAGGCTGAGGCAGGCAGATTGTCTGAGCTCAGGAGTTCAACACCAGCCTGGGCAACACGGTGAAACCCCATCTCTACTAAAATACAAAAAAAATTAGCCGAGTGTGGTGGTGTGTGCCTGTAATCCCAGCTTCTTGGGAGGCTGAGGCAGGAGAATCACTTGAACCTGGGAGGCGGAGGTTGCAGTGAACCAAGATTGCACCATTGCACTATAGCTTGGGCGACAGAGTGAGACTCCATCTCAAAAAAAAAAAAAAAAAAAAAATAGAATGGCTACAATTTTAAAAGACTGACCACACTAAGTGTTGACAAGGATGTGGAGGAACTTGAACACTACGAGTAGAAATGTAAAATGGCACAATCACTTTGGAAAAGTTTGGTAGTTTCTTAAAAAATTAAGCATATATAATGGGTACACAGTTTCAGTTTTGCAAGATGAAAAGAATTCTGTGGATAGATGGTGGTGATGGTCACACAACAACGTGACTACAAAATGCCACTGAACTGTATGCTTAAAATCATCAAGACGGGGCGGGCGCGGTGGCTCATGCCTGTAATCCCAGCACTTTGGGAGGCTGAGGCGGGTGGATCACAAGGTCAGGAGATTGAGACTACCCCGGCTAACACGGTGAAACCCTGTCTCTACTAAAAATACAAAAAATTAGCTGGGCGTGGTGGTGGGCACCTGTAGTCCCAGCTACTCGGGAGGCTGAGGCAGAAGAAAGGCGTGAAACCGGGAGGCGGAGCTTGCAGTGAGCCAAGATCGCGCCACTGCACTCCAGCCTGGGTGACACAGCGAGACTCTGTCTCAATAAATAAATAAATAAATAAATAAAAATTAAAAAAAAACTCAAGACAGTAAATTTTATGTTTGTTATTGCAGTTATAAAAAGTTAAACACTTAACTTGTGACTCAGCCATTCTATTCCTATGTATTTATTCCAAGAAAAAGGGAAATATGTCCATACAAAGACCTGTACACAAATATTCATGGCAACTTATTTGCAACAGTCAAAAATGAGAAGCAATCCAAACGTTCATCAACAGGTGAATGGATAAACAAATTGTGATATATTTATACAATGGAATACTACTGAATGATAAAAAGAAATGAACCTTTGATAAAGGTATGAACATGATGAATCTCTACACTGAATGAAAAAAGTCAGACAAAAAGAGTTATATACTTCACGATTCCCTTTGGATAAAACTCTAAAAAATGTAAACTAATATACATTAACAGTGACAGAACGCAGGTAAGTGGTTCTTGAGGAAGAGAAGTGGGACGGGTAAGAGAGGGATTACCAAGGGACAGGAGGGAACTTTTGGGGGTGATAGATATACTCACTGTTTGTCGTGATGGTTTCACAGGTGCAAACATACATCACAACTTGTTGAATTCTATACTTTAAATATGTGCAATTTATTGTAAGTCAATTACCCCCAATAAAACTGTTACAAAATAAATACAGGTTATTTAAATTTTGATACCTTCAGGGAAATCAGTTCAGTTACTAAAGATCTCCATGTCTTTCTTAATTTTATTTTACTATGATTCTTGTTTTTTTTTTGAGACGGAGTCTTGCTCTGTCACCTAGTTTGGAGCACAGTGGCGTGATCTCAGATCACTGCAACCTCTGCCTCTTGGGTTCATGCAATTCTCCTGCCTCAGCCTCCTGAGTAGCTGGGACTACAGGCATGCGCCACCACGCCCTGCTACTTTTTGCATTTTTAATAGAGTTGAGGTTTCACCATGTTGGCCAGGCTGGTCTTGAACTCCTGACCTCAGGTGATCCGCCCACCTCGGCCTCCCAAGGTGCTGGGATTATAAGCGTGAGCCACTGTGCCTGGCATACTTTACTATAATTCTTTTTTTTTTTTTTTTTTGAGACGGAGTCTCGCTCTGCCGCCCAGGTTGGAGTACAGTGGCCGGATCTCAGCTCACCGCAAGCTCCGCCTCCCAGGTTTATGCCATTCTCCTGCCTCAGTCTCCCGAGTAGCTGGGACTACAGGCGCCCGCCACCTCGCCCGGCTAGTTTTTTGTATTTTTAGTAGAGACGGGGTTTCACCGTGTTAGCCAGGATGGTCTCGATCTCCTGACCTCGTGATCCGCCCGTCTCGGCCTCCCAAAGTGCTGGGATTACAGGCTTGAGCCACCGCGCCCGGCCTTTACTATAATTCTTAATTTTACTTTACTATATTTACTTTACTGTATTGTATTTTATTTGCTGTAGCCTTTTATTTAAAGGAAAAAGAACAGAAACGTCTCTTTTGCTAGTTAAAAAAATTTATGGGCTACGATTCTTTGTAATTTTTCAGAAAGACCACCAAATAATAATAAACATGACGTTGGGTAGGTTTCCAAGTATATATAACCCAGACAATTGTGAATTCATTCTGTTCTTGGCATGATGTTTTCTCTTTTTATTAATAACTCAGATTTTCGGCCGGGCGTGGTGGCTCACGCCTGTAATCCCCAGCACTTTGGGAGGCTGAGATGGGCGGATCACGAGGTCAGGAGATCGAGACCATCCTGGCTAACACGGTGAAACCCCGTCTCTATGAAAAATAGAAAAAAAAATTAGCCGGGCACGGTGGCGGGCGCCTGTAGTCCCAGCTACATGGGAGGCTGAGGCAGGAGAATGGCATCAACCCGGGAGGCAGAGCCTGCAGTGACTGGAGATCACGCCACTGCACTCCAGCCTGGGCGACAGAGTGAGACTCTGTCTCAAAAAAAAAAAAAAAACCAAAAACCAAAAAACTCAGATTTTCCTAAAGAAATTCCAAAAACAAATGGTGAATTGGGGCTATTCTAAAAGTTGCTTTCTCTTCCACAAAGGGTAGTATAAGCAATACAATGACAGAGCAATTTTGTCTTCATATTTAGTTTTATCTTACCCATCAGTTTATTGACATTTTGTTTCTGTAGATGGCCAATGAAGTGCCATTTGATCTCAGGACACAAAGACAGAATCTGAGGAGAAAAAGGTAACCATGTGTAACTCAGATTTTACAGAGGCCTTGCAGGCTCAAATGCCTCGTGCACTCCCTGTCACCTTTCACATTCACTCTCTGTTCCTTAAATGTAATAAACTATCACAATCTTCACCCGGCCTCCTAATGAGGTAAAAGGATAGAGAAAAATCTAAGGCTTCTGTTTTGTCTTCCTTCCTTGTTCCCATCAATTCCCTCCACCTTTCAGATATCGCCCATCAGGGATGAACTGATTTAAGCTTCCAAATCTTGAAAAGATCCAAGATTACAGCAAGCTCCTGAAACCACCATTTCCAAACAGCCACCAAGGAGAAAACGATAGTCTGAACAAAGAGAAAAATCTAGCTGAGAATTACTTGGGGCTCAAGGTGAAAGTTGACATTTCTATCCCTGGCCCAATCTAAAGTCAGCCATCCTAAAATTGCCATACAACTCAAACACCAAGATGGGTCTAATTTTCAACTAACGAGCCAAGATTTAGATATAAATTAAAGAATTCAGCTATCTACTTACTTTAGGATTTGATGCTTTTTCTAGCAGTTCCTGAACCTAAAAGGTCAAAACAGAACAAGTCAGAAGCCTGGCAATCATGATGCTTCCAAAGGGCTTCAGGAAAGGGCTCTTACGTAGTTCTCGCCGAAAGTGCGCTGCCCATGTCCATAGGCCTCGATCACCATGTCTGCAGGTTTGGTTTTGCTGACTGCCACTAGCCGGGGCTGGATGGCTGGAAGATCCTGCCAAGAGGGAAAGAGCCATATGAGTGAATGTTTGGGAACAGTATCCCAATGAATCCCATAGGACAGATCCTGTAGGATAGATGGGCATTGATCTCAACTTGGCATTAGGCAAGATCTATTTTTTCAACACTGTAGGCAGATCAATATCAAATAGTGGTGATCAAATGTTTTTTAGGGGCATGGCATCTCAATCTAATATGTTAGCGATGTCAATATATACCAGAAGAAATTTCTCTCTCAGGAGAGCTGGGCAAGTTAAAGCAGTATTTCCTATAAGCGTGGTCTTTGATCAACTGCATCGGCATCACCTGGGTGAGAATTTCCTTTTTTTTTTTTCTTTGAGACAGAGTTTCGCTCTTGTTGCCCAGGCTGGAGGAAAATGGTGCCATCTCAGCTCACTGCAACCTCTGCCTCCAGGGTTCAAGCGATTATCCTGCCTCAGCGTCCTGAGTAGCTGGGATTACAGGCATGCAACACCACGCCTGACTAATTTTGTATTTTTAGTAAAGACAGGGTTGCTCCATGTTGGTCAGGCTGGTCTGGAACTCCCAACCTCAGGTGATCTGCCTGCCTTGGCCTCCTGAAGTGCTGGGATTACAGCGGTGAGCTACCGCGCCCAGCGGAGAATTTCCTTTTTAACAATCTCTCCAGATGACTCTAAGACATACTAATGTTGGAGGCTTAAGAATCACTTCATTAATAGAAGGCTGCACTCTGAGTAAAAGAGAGGTCACTTCTGGCTTCTGAAACCCAAACATTAGCAGTTCTGGGGACTCATTCTGGTCCTGGTGTATCATTACACAATAATAACACTGCCCCATTTACTCTAAAAGTGGCCCACTTAGGTAACTAAGTAATTGATTGTTCAATCTGTGAATTAAGAACCGGTGGCACAGCCAGGTGAGCCACACACCTGTAATCCCTGTACTTTGGGAGGCTGAGGTGGGTGGATCACCTGAAGTTAGGAGTTCGAGGCCAGTCTGGCCAAAATGGTGAAACCCCATCTCTATTAAAATACAAAAACTTGGCCGGGCAGGTGGCTAAGCCTGTAATCCAGCATTGGGGCGAGCGGGGATCAGAGGTCAGGAGATGGAGCGATCCGGCAACGGTGAACCCGTCTCTATAAAAATACAAAAAATAGCCGGGCGAGGTGGGGGCCTGTAGTCCAGCTATCGGGGGCTGAGGGGAGATGGGTAACCGGGAGGCGGAGTTGCAGTGGCTGGATCCGGCCATGCTCAGTGGGTGAAGAGCAAGACTGTCTCAAAAAAAAAAAAAAATACAAAAACTTAGCTAGGTGTGGTGCCGGGCATCTGTAATCCGAGCTATCTGGGAAGCTGAGGCAGGAGAATCGCTAGAACCCGGGAGGCGGAGGTTGCAGTGAGCTGAGGTTGCACCACTGCACTCCAGCCTGGGTGACAGTGAGACTCCGTCTCAAAATAAAACAAAAAACAAAACAAAACAAAACAACAACAACAACAACAACAAAAAAAAAAAAGAAAAGAAAAGAAAAGAACCAGTGGCAGAACTAACACTGTGACATAAAAAATTCTGGATTCAGGATTAGATCTACGTGACATCCTCTCATGAACACTACACAAAGAGTAGGGGTTCTACGCGTTTTGCTGCCACCCAATCCACATAGAAACAGTAAGAGAAGAGATTCATTTATCCTTGCACGATTCAGTCTTCTTGTATCCATCACCCCCTGAAGTTTTCACAGAATCACAGTGTTCTCAAGGACATGAAGGAGTCAGATCAATTAGAAAAATGTCTCCTTTTCCTTCCTTCCACAGGGATGCGTAATTAGCCTCTTCTGAGTCCAAGTCGTGACTACTGGGATTATGCTGATGATTGACGTTTTCCAGAGAGTTACCCGAACAGGCAGCCCATCTGCCTGAGAGTTCTCCTGAGAGAACCTCCAGGGTGATGTTTATTAGGGGAAGCCCTAGATTTTTCTTGGAGAATCACAGAGAATCACAGAATAGTAACATCTGAAGAGAGCTCAGAGCTTTCAGAGCTGAGGGCCGGAGTAGTTACCTGACTTTTCAAGGTAAGGTCTAAGGAACAGTGAAGGAAAGACTATAATACAGGTCTTGTCTTCAGCCAGCATAAATGCTCGATCAGAGAAACCCGTGAACTCTTTGTTAAAGGTCAGTCTCATTCCACCACCATTCAGCTTAAACTTGCACTGAGGTGGGCAGATTGTGATTCTTGGTCTAATCAAAGTCCAAGAGGAGGTAAAATATATACAAACAAAAGACGAAATCTGCCCTTAACCAGCTTGGGATTGGACTGCCCCCTCCTGCCCCCAAAACAAGTGCCGCTCTGGTGCCAGCGAAGTCCGGCCAGTCCACCCTCACCTCGGCCTCCGGGCGGCACTGGCATTTCTTGGGCACTTAGCAGGTGAGACGCTGCCACACACGCGATCTCGGGCGTGTCTGGCCTCCGCGGGGTGCTCTTGTACCCCCGTCTCCCCTAACGGTCCGTGGGCACAGGCCTGGCCCCCCTCGCATCCGCCAAGGCTGTCGACCCCGAAACGACGCGGTGCCCAAGTGGCCACGATACCTGGACAATAAGGCATTTTCCCGAGGTAGCGGTACCCCCTGCTCCAACGAAGCCAATCTCCAGAAAACCTAAGAGACTCTGGGTAAGGAGGCTGGGAAAACCGTTCGCTAGCCTTTCCGTGGCCCTAGGCGGCCGACCGGACCCGCCTCTCCCGGAGACCCCTCTGCGTCACCGTGACGACCCATTCCCACGCAGGTGTCCCTCTTCTCAAGGCGGCCGCCCACCGTCCCCACGCAGCCTCCTTCCTCACCCGCGGCCGCCGCGCCACCGCCTGCTGCACGCGCTCGTTCACCGCCCGCAATGCACATCCGACTCCCAGCTCAGCAGACATGCTGCCAGCTCTCCACATCCCCCGGGAAACGACGCCGAGCCCCAGGCCCCTGGCAGCCCTTGGCACACACCATCTTCCGGTTCCGCCCAGCTCGCGCCGTGTAAACCAATCATTGCGCACCATCGAGTCGTCTCACCCAATCAACACCCATGCAGCGTAGCGGCCCGCCCCCAGGCGGCGGCCATCTTGAGGAGGTCACTCCCGAACCTGGAAATGGGAGCCTGGGGGCCGAGGTTTTGCGTGCCTGATTCCAAGGGCCGCTCGCCGTGTGCTCTCCTCTTTCCTGCCCCTCAGCCGCTGCCGTCCCCCCACCTCCAAGGGACTTTTGTGAGGCAAAAACGCATCCTATACTTGGGGGGTCCTGTTCCCTTTCAAAACGCCTTGCCAGGCTTGCCCGTTCCCGGCTTTCTGGGCGCGAGGACACCAGGATTAGAAGCCACTGGGGCGGGAGCCAGGGCTTTTCTCTGTCAGATGATGCTTGCGAGGAACCCCTAAGCGACACGAAAGGAAACTCTTCTTTCTTCTTTTCCCTAAAGACACGGCGTGATTCAAACGTATCGTTATTTTTGTCATCCTTCAGACCAGTGCTGTCCAAGAGAAATAGAACGCGATCCACCTGTGTAATTTGGAGGTTTCTCATAGGCACATAAGTTTAGAAATTTTAATGATATACTTTATTTAACCCAATATATCCAAAGTAAGATTTCAACATGCAATCAATAGATAAACTAAATGCAATATTTTGATTCTTTTGAAAATCGTACGTGTTTCTGAAACCCGGTGTAGTGTTGACTTGCATGTGCCTTAATTCGGACCATCCCTATTTCAAGAGGTTAGCGGCCACCTGCGGCCAGTGCTGCCTCATCAGGGGACACAGGCAGCATGATTATTACTATTATTATTATTATTGAGACAGTCTCGCTCTGTCACCTAGGCTGGAGTGCGGTGGCCCGATCTGGGCTTAGTGCAACCTCCGCCTCCTGGGTTCAAACGATTCTCCTGCCTCAGCCTCCCGAGTAGCTGGGACTAAAGGTGGGAGCCGCCGCGCCCAGTCCACAGGCAGCTTTAGATGCTCTAGCAGGAGCTCAGCACATTCAGTGGATTCTTTTTTTGAGATGAGGTCTCACTATGTTACCCAGACTAGTCTGGGACTCCTGGGCCCAAGCAATCCTCCCACCTCCGCCTCCAGGGTAGCTGGGACTACAGATGCAGGCCACAACGCCCTGAGTTTCATTCTTGAGTTCCCTTCTGTGGACAATATGGTTATAAACTTGATGAGGAGTCAGACCATAAAAAGATTAACACAGAATGCTACATAGTCAGGTGGTGAAATAGTAGGTGCTATGGGGAAGGAGAAGGAGATCAATTTGGTTAAGGAAAGCACTCTTACCTGCAATTTCTGTTGAAAGATTCTCAAACATTAATTCAACTTAATGAAGTGGGATGCTGTTGTATTAGAGAAATGGCTAATGTTTTTTCTTCAGGTGGTCTTGTCTTGAGGTGATGGGGTTTATTAGAGCTTTCCGGAAAGAAGGGGCAATATTCTTACTCTCTCCTCTCACATTTTTTCACCAGACTCCCAGGAACAGAGATAGAATTTCACATCTTCTGCTCTGGGGAAATCACAATAGGCAGAACCTCAGGTCCTTAAAATAAGGGACTTCTTTTTGGATGTCTCTGGTCATTTACCCTGGTAGACATTAACTGGGTTATCTTCAAACTAGGACTGCCGACATTAGGAGTAGTTGTGTTCAAATAAAATGTCTCTGGACTTGATACATTTGCAGTCCAACCAAAATGATAAAAAATTTGAAATGACCAGAATGGCCCTTTGTGGTGTGAGCATAATAGATACTTGCTGTAGAGACACAGGTGGGAAGGAGCGAGTCAGCAGTGAGTGATGGGGAGGACAGGGGATCACAGTGACGGGATGTGTAGAGGAAGGATTGGGTGAGATGAAACACTTCAAATGATGCGCTATTTGGAAAACATTTTAAAACCACAAATACCTCACAGATCTAGGGAATGTATAATACAGGTGTTAGGTCACTATGACAAGTAGTCGTAGCTTCATTTACTAGATTGGGCCTCTATTCTATTTATTTATTTATTTATTTATTTATTTATTTATTTTTTGAGATGAAGTCTTGCTGTGTTGCTCAAACTGGAGTGCAGTGGCGCCATCTTAGCTCACTGCAACCTCTGCCTCCTGGGTGCAAGCGATTCTCCTGCCTCAGCCTCCCGAGTAGCTGGGACTACAGGTGTGCACCACCATGCCTGGCTAATTTTTGTATTTTTAGTAGAGATGGGGTTTCACTATGTTGGGCAGGCTGGTCTTGAACTCCTGACCTCATGATCCACCCGCCTCGGCCTCCCAAAGTGCTGGGATTACAGTCGTGGGCCACTGTGCCCTGCCAAAGGCCTCTATTCTTTGAATTACAAGGCAAGGTCATCCTCCCACCCCCTTATCCATTCAGTGAACATTTATTGAGGCATTACTCTGTGAAGGAACCCTAAGAGAGACCAGGCTGAGTAAGACAGGCTTTATTGCCGATTTACTTCCAATATGCTTTTCATCTCTGACATTCTGTGATCTTATGAAAATGGAAATGGAGACAAAAAGATCATGGTGCCCCCAGTCCCATGGTCGTTTCACATTCCAATTTCTTTTTAGTTGTACTTTTGAATTAATTTCATTTCACTTTTTCCCGTTTTTTCCTTATTTTCTTTTTTAGTTTCTTCTCTTCCTCCTCCTGGGACATCAACCATCCAAGTTAACCTTTCATCCTCCCCTACAACCTAATCCTTGAAAAATACAAGTCCAAAATCATTTCATCACCAGTAATTGTCTTTAAATTGCTCCAATAATTTGCGAGGATAAAGGGGAAAAGAGAAAGATTAAAAAGCCAAATGCCCAGAGAAATAGATTTTATAAACAATCTAAAATCCCGTATACTTATTCACCATCAATGCCATCAAGCTTTTAAAACACCCTCATAGTCTAGAATAAAACCAAATTACGAGAAAAACATATATGGATTTAAAAATTATTTCCTTCTGAGCCTACAGTGATTCTTTTGGGGGGATAAAAAAGTAAAACGGAAAATTGCTGTTGCCTGGTTACTTAGCTCTAAAGAGAAATGGAGAAATAATGCCCATGTCCCATCCCAGTTTAAATGAATTCAGGTAGAGTAGCCCATGACAACAAGCCCTTGGCAAACATGCCATCACATCTGGCCTTTGAAATGTCTATATAGATAGTAGAACCCTAGATCTAGGGAAGACTTAGGGAGGTTTCATACAGAAAGAATGACATTTAAACTATCCCAAACAGCACAGAGTCTGCACAATTTCTGAAGACCATCAGAGAAGAATATTTATTTTCTATTTGCAGGTAACTACTCCTCCCCATGTGAAAGTTTAGCAAGCCTGATCTTTTTTTTTTTTTTTTTTTTTTTTGAGATGGAGTCTTGCTCTGTCACCAGGCTGGAGTGCGGTGGCACGATCTTGGCTCACTGCAACCTCCGACTCCCTGGTTCAAGCTATTCTCCTACCTCAGCCTCCCAAGTAGCTGGGATTATAGGCACACACCACCACGCCCAGCTATTTTTTTTGTATTTTTAGTAGAGATGGGGTTTCACCATGTTGGCCAGGATGGTCTCCATCTCCTGACCTCGTGATCCGCCCACCTCGGCCTCCCAAAGTGCTGGGATTACAGGCGTGAGCCACCGCGCCCAGCCTTAGCAAGCCTGATCTTAAGTAAATTCTTTAAAAATCCTCCTTTATTCGAGCAAATTTCCTCTTTTAAGCTACCATTATGTAACTTTTATAATCGTGAAGTCATTAAATGTCCCTTCTGCCTTTTCTGGGATCAACCTATGAGCTTTATTTCTTTTTTTTCTTTTTGGTTTTAGTATTTTCTTTCTAGCTTCTTCAAATTTTTTTCCTTTTTAAAATTGGAGCCCAGAACTGGACAATTCCTCTCAACAGGGCCAAATCAGGTTCTTTTCTTTTTTTGAGACAGTTTTGCTCTTGTTGCCAGGCTGGAGTGCAGTGCTGTGATTTTGGCTCACTGCAACCTCCACCTCCCAGGTTCAAGTGATTCTCCTGCCTCAGCCTCACAAGTAGCTGGGATTTCAGGCAAGCGCCACCATGCCCAGTTAATTTTGTATTTTTAGTAGAGATAGGGTTTCTCTATGTTGGTCAGGCTGGTCTGGAACTCCTGACCTCAGGTGATCCACCTGCCTCAGCCTCCCAAAGTGCTGGGATTACAGGTGTGAGCCACTGCACCCGGCTTCTTTTCTTTTCTTTCTTTAAACCAGGTCATTTTCTACACAACATTTTTGTAGAGGTGTGTATCCTCAATACTGTGTTTGCTGCATTGCAATGTCATTCCCTTCTTCTATGTGCTATCCTATTTGTAATCTTATTCCATTTTTTTTTTTTTCACGTTTGGCTTTCTACTTAGTGGTTCCCATTTAATAGCTGTGTGTTTTTTAGCCCATTTCTCCAGATTGAAAATAAGTTGTTTTTGAATATATACATGCAAGGTACAGTGTGAAAGCCCTTCATATGCATTATTTCATATAAGCCACTCATTTTATTAATGAAGAAACTGAAGCTTAGAGAGGTCAAAAAACTTACTCAAGACCACACACCTAAGAAGTAGTGGAGCAGTGATTTGAACTTTGGCAGTCTAACTCCAGTAACTACACTCTTAATGTACCTATTCAATTGTTAAGATCATATTATTTGTGTAGCAGGCTCTCAAATCAATAGAAAAAGCTTGGGAGCCCCGTTAAAAAAACCTGAGAAAGCCTGGGCTAGGGGTGCCAGACTTAACAAGTAAAAATACAGAACAACCAATTAAATATGAATTTCACACAAACAACAAATTCTTTGGTATGAGTATGTCTCATGCAGTGTTTAGGACATATAGTACCTATACTAAAAATTGTACATTGTTGAAATTCATATTTAACTAGGTATCTTATGCTTCATCTGGCTACCCTAAGCTGGGCAGCTTTCCAGAGTGAAGACTGGGAGTTCGTCCACTGAACTGATAACAAAATGAGTTTTAGTTTACTTGAAAATATCTTTGTCCTTTGGAGCTGAATTGCAGTGGTGTGTGAATTGTTTAAAATGATAAATCTCTATAGCACCTACCAAGAATTATGCCATGTTCACAAATTCTGTATCGATAATGGGGCTAGATTTTCATCTGAGTATATTTTTAGAGAGATCTTGTACTTAACTCACTAGTTGGGGATGTTTCATTTCTTTATGTCACCTAATATTAGCTATTGCTAAATTTCACTTTAATAAAAAAGTAGATACAAAGACTCATTTTACTTAGCAAGACTGCAAATAAAACTAAGACATAAATTCACATGGGACTGTTAGTATTGTCCAAAACAATTCCTCCAGCTATCAACCTAAGGCAATCAATCCAGCAGTATCATTTATAGAATGATTACTAAAACAAGAATCATTTCTCAGTTACAAATGGGGTCATTAAGCCCTTGGGGCTCTTTGAAAGTAGAAGTAGTTTGACTATTTAATCATCAGTCTACACAAAGGCAGAAATAAAAAGGAATGGAAATACAAACACAAAATGATTGGTTATTACCTCTTTTATAAGGAAACAAGGAAAAAAAAAACAAACAGTGGCTAGAAACAACAAAAAAGCAGTGGCTAGAACCCTACTGAATAGAGCTTAAAGAAGTAC